TGGAACTCTTTGTTCCTAAATCACCATCTTCCTCCTCCTTGGTTTCTCTAATATTCTAAGGAAGTGCCTTTACATGTAATTTCTTGAAAAAAAGAATTCATAGGAACTCAGTTTTTCTGAGACTTGACATCTGAAATTCTTTTTATTTTATCATTAAACTTACTTTATAGAATGAAAAGATGTAGACTTTTTTTAACAGTTTTATTAAAATTGACATAAACTATCCATCTTTAAAGTGCACAGTTAGATAAGTTTTTGATGTATGAATAGAACCCAAGAAGCATCATCACAGTCAAGATAATCAGCATACTCGTCATCTCGAATCTCCTCATGCCTCTTCAAATGCCCAGCTCTCCCAGCTCTCCCAAATTCCCAGGTAAGGAATGATCTGTTTGTGTCACCATACTTTAGTTTGCATTTTCTAAATTTTTATATTCATGGACTCAAACCATATATTACGTTTTTTAGGTATGTGGGTCTGTTGTCTTCTCATACCTAAAATGCAAATTCATTATTAGATATATGGATTGGAAATGCTTACTCCTAAGCTGTAGCATGTCTTAAATTTCTTTTTACCTTTTTATGGTAATTTGAAATTTTCAGAGAAAATGAATTTTCTGTCCAGCTATCCATTCACATTTTGTTCTGACACTAATTAGAATTCCCTTTATAGTAGTACTCCTCTGTGTTCTCCGATCCTGCTAAATTTCCGTCTGTCCTCTTAATTCCTTCCTCCCTTCCGAATTTTTTCCCTGGGAAAATAATTGACTTTTTTGACTTTGCATGGTTGACTGTTACAAGAAGTGAGTGATACTAGTCCGTGGTACTGCTTAGAGGTATAACCTGGTACACCTTAGAGGCCTGTCTATTGTTTGGCTGGGAGTTGAACCACAGGGATGAACCTAATTCTAGACTTAAAAGATGACTAAGGGCCATAGTCTTGGAGGTTCCCCCAGTCTCTGTCAGACCAATATGCCTGGCCATTTTTTAGGATTTTGATAGTCCACCTTTTTCTCCCACTCTGTCCAATATCTGCTCCTTTCAGAGGAGAAAGCAGTATAAGCTGAGTATCATCTAGTTCTTCTGGTCTTAAGATTTTTTATAACCCTGTTGCTGTTAGGGACCTCTCCAAAGTACTGAAGAACAGTGGTGTCTCTCTGGAGACTAAGGTGCATCTGATACAGGCCATGGTCTTTGCAATCACTTGTTATGCATCAGAGAGTTGGACAATGACCAAGGAGGATAGAAGGAGAATTGATGCCTTTGAGCTGTGGTGCTGGAGAACAGTATTGAGAATACCATGGACTGCTAGGAAAACAAACAGATTCGTCCTGGAAAGGGTTAAACCGGGTGGCTCCTTGGAGGCAAGCATTCTGGGGCTCTGTCTAACATACTTTGGACATGTTGTGAGGAGAGACCGGTCCTTGGAGAAGGACATCATGCTTGGGAGGGTGGAGGGACAGCGCAGGAGGGGAAGACCCTCTATGAGGTGGATTGATTCAGTGACTGGGATAATCGGGATGGGAGTGTCAGAGGCAGTGCGATTGGCACAGGACAGAGCAGTGTTTAGGGCTGTTGTACATAGGGTCGCTATGAGTAGCAAGCGACTCGACGGCACATAACAACAACAACATCTTTGAAAGAGCAATCACTTTGAAAGTGATTTATTTTGGTGACAGTCCCAATTTTATCTTCTTTTTCCTATGTAATTTGAAGATAATCACAATTACTTTTTTTAATTATTAAATTTTATTAGTTTTAATGAACATTTACAGAGATTTTTGGGTTTTCTCATTCATTCATTGTAGCACAAAATTACTTTTAATGAGGTTTTATTTGCTTAGGAATATCCACTGTTAGACCGTCATTTGTTGACAATACTTATTTTGGCTTTGTGTATATATTCTCTGTTCTATTTGATTTGTTTGTTTAAGTCCAATAGTAGTAAGCTTGTTATTTCCTATCAAGATCTGGTTCATTGAATTTGTGTGTATCTTTGGAAAGAGTTGGCATTTCAACAATACCGATTCTTCCTGCTCTGTGAACATAGCAGATCATACTTACTTAGGTCTGATGGCCTGGTGATAAGGAATTGCACTGTCAGCTCAAAACTCAAAGACATGCAGTTCGAATCCACCAGCAACTCTTCATGAGAAAAATAGGCATTCGAACTCCTGTGTGATTTATTTACTACATCTGAAAATCTGCTGGAGGGTCAGCTGTGGGCTGATCTGGCTCCTACATGGCAAAGCATTTACTTAGAGCCTCTGTAGTTTCTCCTCATAATGTTCACAATTGTGTTTAAGATTCTCAGTAAAACCAGATGCTCTGCTGGAGAAGGAGGGGGTAATCTTCTCCTGTACCAGTCAGATCTGATTTGACGGTACACGTAAAAATAATATAATAAAAATTTAAAAAAAAAAAGTCTCAGTAAGAAGCAGCAGAAGTAAGAATTTCCCAAACTTATTTAACCATTGTACTTAAAAATACATATTAACTAGCCTGTAATTCATTATTGAAGCCAATATTGTTATAATCATTAAACTCCTGACGTTTCAGGGTCATTTTCTTATAAGTAAGGTCAGAGTTGGATATTCTGGGTTACCATTTAAAGGCCAGTACATGGAGAGGTGGACCATGTGAATTTATATAGAACTTACACTCTGGTCAGCCATTACTAAACATGTGGTGTACCAGGCAAAAAGGTACTTTGATAACATCTTCCTTTTGCCCTCAAGGAGGAGAAATCTCATCCCGTAACCTGGCTTACAAGGCTTTTGTGAGACAGCCACGTCTTCTCTGAACCCTCACACTGTTCACACTGAGCACCAGCCTCACTGTCTTTTCTGTTCCTCTGAACCATGAGGTTTATTCCAGCCAGAAAGCTTTTGTCTTGCTCTCTCCTTGCCCAGAATGTTCCAGCCCTGCGTACTCAGCTGGCCCCGTTTTGGTCCATGAGGTCCTCCATGGCTGAGCTCTTTCTCAGGTGACTGACTCTCCATCAGTGACTCTTTCACTGTGTGGCCCTATTTGGCTTCCTTCATCATGTTTACGTCTCTATAAAAGCATTGCCCTTTTGTTTGATTATATAACTATTGCCATCATCCCACCACTCGACTGTGGAGAAATTGGTGATAGCAAATTCTTTGAAGATATATTTGATTTATAGCAATAGCTGAAAGTTGCTCTAGACCAAGTCTAATGAATAAGACTGATGATCAGGCTAGAAGAGAAGCTGTTGGGGAAAGCAGGGACAATAATAAATACTAGTTCAGTAATTTTAAAGTGACCACAAATAATAGGTTTCTGTTTATTGAATCTCAAAAGAGTTCCAAGAGGACTAAAAATTTATTTATGATTATGACAGTATTACGAGAGCAAGTCAAGAGCCTCCCAAGGAAACTTCTTCAAAATGCAGTATTTATTTGGACATGCAGTATTTTCAGTATGTGGTTTCAGGACTTGTTTCTGATGAGGTTTCTGGTGATAAGTTGGCACAAATGAAAATCAGTTTCATATCTCCAAGCAGAGATTTAATACTAGCATACTCTGAAATGACAGTCTAATTTTTATTCCATAAAACTGAAAATGTTTGGAAATGTCATATCAAACTTTGGGAACATATTTTGGCTTTGTTATTAGTTGTTGTTAATGTGCCGTTGAAAGCGACTCATAGCAACCCAATTTACAGTAGCTCTGAACCCTACTCTATCCTGAGATACACTTACCTGCCCCATTACCCCATAGAAGACTGCGATATTAAACTGGCCAAAAAAGTAAATTGTATGTCCTTAGAATCAGTAACAGTCGGTGCCAACGCCTAAACACTGTTTAGTCATTTTCATCTCTGGAGTTCTAGCTTACTGCATCTTTTGATGATTCCATTTTTATTTTTGGGTTGGGGGGGAGGGGAGGGGAGTTGTGTTGGAGGGGTTTTTTTGTTTTGGGGGGATTTCCATTTCAGTGACCACTGTTCAATTTTTTTTTTTTCTTCATCGTCTCTTAATCTCTTGCCTCACTAGAATTTTTGGAACTTGTTTCTAGAAGAATTGCCGTAGCTCTTCTAGCCACCATAGTTAGAATGGTAGCTTTTTATAGTTTATGGCTTAAGTGAGGCAACATTTCATTGTCCAGGGAGCTCTGGTGACATAATGGGTAGGGAGGTGCCCTGCTAACCCACAGGTGGCCTGGCACCTCAGCTGGTTGGAATCCACCGTTGGCTCTGCGGAAGAAAGAAGGGCAGTCTCCTCCCTGTGATTTACAGCCTCAGTGTCAGCTGTGAGTTTGACCTTGAAAAAGATACGCTGTCTTTGTATCTTCCTTCAAAAAGGAAATCGTGATTATAATTGATGCAAAATGAAATATTATGTTAAAGGGAAAATCGAGTCATAAACGTAGAAATATTTTAAGATTTTTCAAATAGTTACAATCTAAACATTAATTTTTAAATTTTAAATTCTCAGTCAGCCAAGCGCTCTAGAAATCATCTGATCCAAGCTGTATCTATATCTATCTAGAAGTAAGTTTTGTGTTGGGTTTTTTGTTTGGTTTCTGAGACGTTTTTATAGACAAGAATTGACAATACCGAATTAGTTATATGCAAAGCATAAATGTACATGATGGTATTCAGAATACCATTCAGTGGTCTTTCCATTTATTATTCTTACTATACAAATGTTGTAGGGAGCTTTGATAGCCTAATGGAAAGAAGCTGGGCTGCAGTACCAAAGGCGCACTGTTCAAATCCTACCAGCTGCTCCATGGGAGAAGGATGAGCAGTCCCCTCCCGTGTGACTAACTGCCTCTGAAAACCCTCTATAGAGTCAGCTATGGGTCAATTCCAGCTCTGTGGTACACCACGTACAGGTGTTGTACTTACTATTAAAAAGCATTAATCAAAGCTAAATTTTTCTTTGTCAAATCCAATTTACCAGTATAAGGGCTTAGGTCTATCAAGTGCTGTAAATGAGTCCATGTCATACCTGTCTTCTACTTTTAAGACTGAACATTCTTCACGATCTGAAAGGAAGAGAAGAGACTCATTCGGGATGTTCGACGGTTATGATAGCTGCAGTGAGGATACAAGTAGCAGCTCCAGCTCGGAGGAGAGTGAAGAAGAAGTTGCTCCTTTACCTTCACATCTCCCAATTATCAAAAACAATGGCCAGGTCTACACATACCCAGATGGTAAATCTGGAATGGGTGAGTATCTGCAGACCTCAACTTTTATATGACCTCACACATAAGGTTGGAATTTCTTGTTTAATTCCCTTTATCATCCTCCTTCCTTAAACATTATAACTTTTTAAGTGCCATTTATGATGGTACAGCCTGAAATTTAGAGTCCCAAATAAGATCACTGGGTTTGAGTTTGATCTCTTGCCTCCCTGCCTTCTGACAGAATGCATTTAGAAAACAATAAAAACATTTTTGTTTCAGAACATTGATTACAATCTTCACAAGGTATAATAATTTCTTATAAGAAGTTTTCTGGTTTAGTACGTCCAGTAATAGGACATTATCTAACTCAGAAGACTAAGTTTGCCTGTTCAGTAACTCCAGTAAAAATCTTTATATAGAGCCAAAATTTCCTTCTACATTTTCTCTCTTTGATCTTAACATTACTTTTTATAGCTACACAAAATAAGTGCCTTAATAGATAACATCTCTTCCCTCTAGAACCCTAGTTTTTCTATCTACTTCGTATAGTATCACAGTGGCTTAATTCATTGAGACATACTTCAAACTGTTTACCTTTTTTTTAACATGTGGATCTCTTGATGGTATTGTCTGTAGCTAGTTGTTGCCCTGCTAACCTGAAGGCAGTATATCTGGAGGTTCGAATCTACCATCCACCCTGTGAGAGAGAAAGATGGGTATTCTCCTCCCTCTGGTACAGCCTCTGAAAACCCACTAGAGGGTCTGTGAATCTGTTCCAACTTAATGGTAATGAGTTTGAGGGTTTTAAAATACATCACCAGAACAGAAAGTAGAACCATATTGTTATACAAATAGCATATTATATGCTCTTTTTTTTGGCCAACTTTGCAGTATACACATAGGCCCCCCCCCCCCATGCTGTTTGCTAAAGGTCACTATGCCACACTTTGTAAGTATGGAGCAGTATGAGGGGGACATACAGAAAATCAGATGTGGTGGAAGAATAATTCATGCTGGTTTTCCCTGGACTGAAGTGGGTTTTGCATTGCAAGTTCAACCCAGAAAATCTCTCTTTTCAGGACACTTTCCATTCACAGTCACAAAAATTACAGGCATTTTTTTTAACTAGTTAACTGAATTTACTGATAACTGAAATCTTTCTGTGCAAAGCATGGTTTTGTTTGTTTATACTATGTAGTTGACCTTAAACTCTGATATATAGGAATTTTCTTACTAAATTTCAGCCTTAGATATTTTTATTGCTAATTCTGTCATCTGATATTGAAAGCCCTGTCATCTAGTTTGCCACTTTTGCATCATTAGGATCTTAAGTCCTATTCTTGTCTTTTGATCCAGAAGTTGAACAGTTCAGGGCCTGGCCTACAGCTATGCAGAGTATAGTTAGAGACTTCATTCCATTATAAGGACTTAGTAGTTCTGTATCAACAAGTCAGGACCAACCTGTAGCTGAGCCTCTATTGTTTTTTTCAGAGACATTTAATCACATGGGAGGAGATTGTTGTTGTTGTTGTTAATTGTTGTTAGGTGTCCTCAAGGTCAGTACAACTCTTAGCCAGGAACAACAGATCTGAACTGTGTTGTTAGAGCTCATTGTCAATCCACCTAGTTGAAGGTCTTCCATTCCTTACCAGCCATCCACCCTTCCCATCAGCGCATGAGGGAAAGACCCTCTATGAGGTGGATTGATTCAGTGACTGGGGTAATTGGGATGTGTGTGTCAGAGACAATGCTATTGGCACAGGATAGAGCAGGGTTTAGGGCTGTTGTACATAGGGTCATTATGAGTCGCAAATGACTCGATGGCACATAACAACAATAACAGATGTGAAGTATGTGAAGCGAAGTCTCTTCATCTTTGTCTTTAAAGAGCACACTGACTCACCCTGTCCAGGACATTGTTCCTTTGGCAGACCATGAGTTGTTCAATACTCTTCTTCACCACAGCTCAAAGGCATCGGTTCTTCTTATTCGGCCATCCTTATTCATTGTTCAGTTCTTAGAGGCATACCAAGTCATCAGAAAGGCCATGAATCAGACACACCTTAGTCCTCAAACTAACATCATTACTCTTCAATAATTTGGAGATCTCCCTAACTGCAGATTTTCCCAGTGCAATGCATCTCCTGATTTCCTGGCTGCTGGTACTGGGAGTATGTATTGTGGATCCAAGTAAAAGTTGTTGACCGTTCAGTCTTTACTCATTCTGTCATGTTGCCTATGATGTGATAAGAATCTTTTTCTTGACATTGAGATGCAGTCCATTTTGAAGGACAAGCTTTGATCTTCAACAAGTGCTTCAAGTCCTCATCTTTAGCAAGCAAGGTTGTGTTATCTGAATAAAGCAGGTTATTAATAAATCTCCTTCTGAGCCTGATGCCACACTCCTCTTCATAGAGTCCAGCATCTTGAATAATTTGATTAGCATACAGACCGAATAGATATGCAAAGAGAATACAGTGCTGACACACTCCATTCTAAATTTTAAACTCAATTTTAAATTTAAAAAGTGTGCCTTTGCTCTGTTCGCACAACAGTCTCGTGGTCTAGGTATAGGTTTCAGGTGAGCACAGTTAAGTGCTCTGGGTTCCCATTCTTAGTGTTAGCCTCAACTTGTTATGATCCACAAAAATGCCTTTGCCTAGTTAACAAAGCATAAATAAAATTCTTCTGGTAGACTTTGAGATTTTCACTAGTCTGTCTAGTCCTTAGGAAGCTCCCTGGTGTTTTAGCAGAAAGGAGTTGTGCTGCCAACCCAAAGGCAAGCAGTTTAAATCCACCAACTGCTCCATGGGAAAAAGATGGGTAGTTTCCTCCAGGGTGACTTATAGTCTCTGAAAACTGCTGGAGGTTCAGCTTATGAGTCGATTCTGTCTCAGTGGCGTTGAGTTTTTTGAGAGCTCTTTCTTTGAGCATTTACAGTATTTTTAAAGACGTGCTATGTTTTGTATTAAACTTTGGCTTTGTTGCAATTTTTTGGTTTTTGTTGGTTTTTTTGTGTGTTTTTTTAATCCTTTCAAAAGCTGAAACTCAGACTTCGAGCATATACTTGAGAATGTCAGGCACATAGAAGCACTGAGGAACATTAGCAGACTCTGACTCACGGTGTTTGTGTGTCTTTGATCTTTTTTAAAAGCCGTTTAGACCTTAAGTTACAGCTATGGCGCCCCTAGTCATTGCATCATAGGGCTCTTTCCTTCAGCTTTCATCATTTGTATAGTAGAATAAATTTTTTAGTCATTTTTAAATTAAAAGTAAACATTTTAAGAAACTATTAAACTTAACTAAAATGTTATAAAATTGATCATGACTCCCATTTTTTTTTCTTTTGTAAATTAGCTACCTGCGAGATGTGTGGAATGGTTGGTGTGCGAGATGCTTTTTATTCTAAAACAAAGCGTTTCTGCAGCGTTTCATGTTCACGAAGTTACTCGTCAAACTCCAAGAAGGCAAGCATTTTGGCCAGACTTCAGGTAACGGTACAGAAACCTTCTTATTCTTTATCTGTGTCATTCCTATGGCCTTCACTGTTTACCTGTCATTTCATTGTGATTCACTGCACTCCAACCCTGTCCACTTGGCCACTTAGCATTTTACACTTACACTTTTAGGAAATATATAAACCCCAAAATGTGTTAAATGTATAAAATTGGAAAACTATTACATACTATCCAAAGTGTTATTTTAAGTTTGTCTAAGTTAAAAAATGAATACTCACTTCCTGCATAAGTGTAAAAACTGTAGAATCTTTTTTTATGTGAAAAGTTGAAACTTTTTTTTACCTTGTCTTTTGATAGAATCTTTGGTAGAATAATTTGGGGAAAATGATTTGTCTTTTGGTGTTATTTTCCCATCCTTGATTGAGCTTTTGATTGTCGTTCATTTGATACTTTGGCTAAATGTAAATTGGTTAATCCAGTTTTTCAAAAACTTTATAGTATGAAAAAAGTACATCTTTCTTTGTACATAAACACCTGCAGAATGACTGAAGACTGCTTGGCTAAGTTATTACTCTTGTGGCATATAAACAACTATTTTAAAGGGTAGTATTAACTGATTTTTATAATATACTTTTATAACATTAATTAATTTTTATATAAGAAAGATGGTCACATTTTTTTCTTCCTCTTTTAACTTCTTGTGATCATCCCATAATACTGAGAGGGTTTTTTCAATCCCTCAGATGAAGGAAATACATCACTTGGATGTATTTCTGTATTTCAGATAGACAGTACCTAGAGATCCTGAGCAGTGGTCTGTACCCAAATGGATGGCAGTGTGTCACACTGTGAATTTGGCCCATGGTCATTTGTCATTGATCTTTTGCGTTAGCACTAAAGGTATACACCTCAGTCACTTGCTCTTTGAACATTAAATTACCTTCTCTTACCATATAAATAGCAATGCTTGGCAACCTGCATGAGTGAATAACCACTGGTTTATCTATTACATGAAAGAACCAAGTATCCACCACAACCTGTATTATTTTAACATTTTATGGGATTTAATTTTTTTATTAACACATTAATTTGCATATTGCTATTTTAGTCTGTGGCAACTCTGCTCCTTATATTATTCTCCATTGTAGAAGAACTCCAGAAACAGTGTTCATGTTAAAATTCCTTGTATGTTTCTCTGCTTTAATAATTTTCTAAACCCTCGATGTTTACTTAAGCAGAATGAGTAGTATACAGTCAAGATAATTTTCGTGGTTGGGGGGATAAAAAAAGAATCCTATTTACTTAACTCTTCTTGTTTTAGGGTAAGCCTCCAACAAAGAAAGCAAAAGTTCTTCAGAAACAACCTTTAGTTGCTAAGTTAGCAGCATATGCTCAGTATCAAGCAACGTTGCAAAATCAAGCAAAGACAAAAGCAGGTAATGTGGGTGAGTGTAATAAAGGTGAACTATTTTATATTGACTTAGCATCTAGTCTGATTAATGACATTTAACTTGTGGATTCTGTTTTAACTGAGGTATTAGCAATGCTAGACTGATAAATGATACTAGACTAAATGATACTAGATTTTCTCATGGTGGTTTGGTTTCAGTAAATATCCTGGAAGATAATAATTGCATTCACAAAGGACCATTTCCACTTGAATATTCTTAAATTCAAAGGCAAATGAGGGGATTAAAAACTCCTATGGAATCAGTAGGTGGTAAGGTGCCAAGTAGCTACTTCGCAGAAGTGCTCTGTAAGGGCTGGATGGGAGTAAAAGCAAAAGGAGCTGTCGCAGGCTCCATGCATTTGTTTTCAGCTGTCCTTTGCTTCCTGTACCAAGAGCTTGTCCTTCCCAAGGAGCGTGTGTTATCTAGAAGACATAAACTGCATTTTCTTTTGTTTTAAAGCATCATTTAGGGAACTTCTCCACACTTTAAAAACACAATAAACTCTTTCAAAGGAATAGATGACTTTTGTTTACATAATCTGCTTCCATTGAGTCAGCCCTGAGTGATGGTAGCCCTGTTAGTGTCAGCGGTAGAGCTGTGCTCCTCAGGGTTGTCAGTGACTTGATTTTTTTGGAGTAGTGCACCAGGCCTTTCTCCCTAAGACATCTCTGGGTAAATTTGAACTGCTAGCTTTTCAGTCAGCAGCCAAGCACAGTAATGCTCGTACTACTCAGGACCTGTTTTAAGCAATAACTTTCTTAAAAGATTGAAGAGTTGTAATAATCTAAACTCCTTTTGTCCCAGCAGCAGTCTCCATGGAAGGTTTCAGCTGGGGTAACTACATCAATAGCAATAGCTTCATAGCAGCTCCAGTTACCTGTTTTAAACATGTAAGTATAGAATTTCGGTCTGCTTTATTTTTAAATGCTCAGTCACTATTTAAATTTGAAAGTACAGTAACACCTAAACATCTTACCCTTCCTTAGAAGTTCTGTGTTTTATGTATGGTATTGGAAATGTTTCTTTTTAATTATAAGAATAAATTAGTAGTTACTGCTAACTAATATTTTCTGTGACCTTTGCAAATAAAAACTTCCCTTGAAGAAAGACTTGAAATTATTTTCCTTTTTTTGATTATTATTTTCAATAAGCAAAAGTATTAGTCTCAATTACTTTACATATTATGTTGAAACATAAGAAAATGCTGTTTTTCTACAGCACAGTGGCATATTGACAATTTCATATGGTTAAAGCTAACAGTAAAAATGATACTTCATTATGAGTATGTAAATCTTTTATGATTTCGTCTGATAATTTAAAAAAAAAACCACAAAAGGAAACAATGGGGGAAAATTAAACCATTTTCTGGCCTCCCCTCCCTATTTCCTTTCAGGGAGGGAGGTCTGTCCCTTTGGGATGTAACTTTCTAATCTATCTTTATTTTATTCTCAAAAAAAATTTCTATGTTAAAAATGAAAAAAGGATATCACACAACAACATAAAAATATTAATAGTGTTATTATTAAGATACAAGTTTAATTCCTGTCTAAAGGTGCTGCCATCTATTTGTTCATGTATAAGAGGAAGAGAGACTATAAAATTAATGAATGAAATTTTTCTTTATAGTTGGTACTTATAAGATTTGACTTCTAACTATCAGCATATGAATTAAAAAACTGAACTTGAGTTCCTGCTTTGGAAATCTTTTCATTCACTATGACCAGCCAGGGATTTTGGTCAAAAAGCCAAGCATTTTAGTTCAACAGTACAAGTGTCATTCATTTGCTTGGGTTTGGTTGTGTGTGGTTTTCTTTCTTTTTTTTTTTTTTAAGTATATGTGCTAAGTAAGCCTTTACTGGCACACCTACTATCTGAACCAACTTAAATGGAATCTAAAATACTTGTTCTTAGTATAAAGTATGTGATTTATTTTGCTGTAATGTTGATTAGTAGTGTCATTTTTATGTGAAGTGTTATTAAATGCATGCAACAGCAGCTTTAAGAGAAATCTAAAGCAAATCTCTCACTCTCCTCTCTTGGGATATTGCCCCTTGCTGCTAAGAAATTCTAAATTAGATTTTATTGCTCAGCTGCACTGACTCTTTTACTCCAAAATCCTTGAAATGTTTGTCTGTTTCTTCTTTCTGAATAACCTTTATCTCTCTTCATATTTTTAATACCTCGTGGGGAGGTTTCTTTTTTTATCATAAACTATGTCAAGCTATTTTACATAAGCAGTGAGGATTGAAATAAATAGTATTTCAGAGCCCCAAAGTACCAGGCTCTCACCACTTTTATGTCCATATTCTATGAATATTGATAGTAAATTAAAGTTCTTTGTATGAAAACCTCAGTTACAATAATGGATCAATCAGTTTTGTTTCAACTTTACTATTATAAGATTAATACACACTCATCTAGAATAGAGCAGCTGGCCTTAGTCCCATTATCAAGATGATAAATGAAATGCTCTTTCTCACAAAGTGAGTCTTTTCTGTCAGAAGTATATAGATCAAGTACATTCCTGCTCCACTCACTTTCCTTTACTGCCCCTCCTTATTCCTATTGGAATAGGATAATTCGTATTGGTAATTTCTTGATGCTTTTTACCTTAACCAATGTTCATTTAAGCCTGTTTGATTTAAGAAGTCTTAATTTCATGCTAAGCTTGATCACATCCCTTCAAAGTTGGTGCTTTCTCTCCAGGGTTAGTTTTCTAAATCTCTTAAGACTTAATAAAAGGTTACCAAGCTAGAGGAAGATCTTCACAGAGTTGAATTGACACAGTGGCTCCAGCAGGGGCAGGAGCACAGCAGAGATGGAGGAGGGTGCAGAATGGTGGAGGTTTAGTTCTGTTATATGTAGAGTCATTGTGAGCTGGGACTGACTTGATGGCACCTAACAAGAACAAGAGTCAGTTGCTTTGTCTTTAGAAAATCTGTTGTCCAGATCTGCTGAGATTACCAAATTCTGCCTTGTATCTTCTGTCTTCTGAGACTTGATCCTCGCTCTAATACTGGTTCATCAGAAGGACCTTTCCTTCCTCCAGACTCTACATCTGCCTTCTCTCTCACTAGAGTACAGACTAAAAGCCTTTTCCTACTCTTCAGGGACTCCTTTTCAAACATAATTTACCAAAATGGAAGCAGGATGTTCAGATTTAATTGGGAGTTGATAGGTAGGGGTGGTAAGGACTAGGGGAGAGTGCCAGCATGTCAGCTGCCTTGCTTTTAATTTAGCCCAACCCAGATAAACACTATATATCTTCTAATACTTGAGTATTAATTCTGATTAGTTCTGCAGTCATAGACTTCCAAGAGCAAAGAGCTCTGTCTTCTAGAGTCTACTTTAAACTTTTGGAAATGAAAACTGTCATAGGACGACATCTCTTTTATAATTGCTGCAATGACACATGGTCACTTTTACTCATGAATGACAATGTCTGGCAGTGGGTTTGTTTCTTTATAATGTAATCAACAATGGAATTCAAGCCCAAGTTCCATTTAAGATACCTATTTCTTAATGCTCTTTGTATTGTGATTGTTCATCAGCACCCTCTTTTCCCTAACTAACTCACATCATGAGAATTAGAAGCAGCTGCCTGCTTGGTCTACAAAGATGGGTTTAGAGCAGCCAGAACTTGGCCCATAGCCCATGATTTCTCCTTTCTTCATACAGTCCCTGAGGTCTCATAATCACAGTATGTGCATGATTTCAGAGAAGCTTCCACTGGATCCATGTGTATTTAGGATATTTGACTTTTGTGGGTTGGGATTTGGTGTTTTAAGCTGATTTTTTTTAAAGTTAAGACTAAATCTTTTGGTTGTATTTTCTTGTGGCATTTTTGTTGTTTTTATTTTTTTGGTTTTTGGTGTGTTTTTTTAAATTCAGGAATTCATTTCCCTTACAAAATCAAATGAACAGTTTTCTCTTTCCAAGATACTGGCTAAATGTAACCAGACCCATGTGAAAGCACAAATCTTACTTCAGTTAATGTACCTTTTAGTTTTCCGATTTCTTTTGAGTATCTGAACTATATACCAACGGCCTTCAGGTTGAAACTGATTTACTAATACTGGCCATCCATTTTATTCCAGTACTGTATGGACATTTTTACAGAAGGGGACACGTCCTCCTTTTTCTCCCACAGATCAACTGGTAGATATGAACCGCTGACCTTTCCAGTAGTAGCCCAATACGTGACATATTATACCACCAAGGAACTGTCTGTAAACTTTGGACTGAGTATTAAGATTGAAAGAAAAAATCTATCAGTCATTGTCCTTTTTTCCTCCCATGAATATAGTCATAGTTTTATGTAAAACAAGTTCTGTTCACACAGATTTTAGTGAATTTAAAGTTACTATACTTCTTAACAGTATAGCTGCACATATACATCTTCTGTCATATACACTATATATTCTCTTTTGTACCTGGCCTATATAACAGCCTTTGTGACAGGACTACAGTTCTTTGTAGCCAGTACTACTAATATCTTTGTGAATTTTAAGGGTGGAAAAGAGATAAAAGCTTTTTATGTGTGTTCACTAAAGATGGTTTAATGAAACTCAAAATATATTTCTCATGTTCAGGTACGACACTGTTTCGGTTTCTGCCTAATCTTGACTTCATATACATAACACATACATACTACTTCAAGTCTTTTGAAAAATGAAAATACTGTGATTTCATGTCCATCTTAACTGAAATGGAAATCTTTCCTGTGTCATCAGATACTGCAGAATTTCTTTATAATGAAAATTTAACTGAAATTGGTGTCTACCCCTGTTAGGACCAGTGCCAAGAAATAGAAATCTCTGCAGGAAAGCTGTAAACTCTAGTGCACTAAAAATCACCTGGGTTTTATTTGTGCGTGTGTGTTTTCAAGAAGTCTAAGGATACAGAGTATTATTTCCTGTAGTCGACTTTGGTTTTTTGTTTTTTATTATTATACTAATTTATTTACAAAATTCTAATGCATTGTTTTCCAAAACAGATTCCTCCAATTTTCTTCACCCCACCACCCATCAAATTGTACAACCTCATGATTAATCCCTCCCCCCCCCCCCCCACATCCTCATCCCTCTGTTTCCACCCTCCCCCACCTTGGACCTTTATATAGTATTTGTCCTTGTGGGACTGAGTTAGTTCACTCAGCATAATGCCCTCCAGTCCCTCCCAAGTTGAGTAATAATTTAGAAAATCATTGTCTACTTTGTAAAGCCATTTTGTTCTACTAAATTCACTACCATTGAGTCGAGTGAGGGTCCAAAACGGTAGCCCTGTGGGATAGAGTAGAAAACATTGGTATTTTAGGGGGAGCAGAGAATGTTTTAACCATTTTATGCCTTTTAAATTAGTAGCCCCTGCCATCTCTCTTCTTTTTACATACAGATTTTCTCATCCCTAATCATATTTCTACTCCATACATCCTACTTTCTTCTTTACTCCCCATTTCACTGCTGCCAGCACCCTCATAAAAAAAAGTAATAATAAATAATAATAATAAAATAAATAAATATTGGTATCAAATGAAAAGGTGAGTGAACTTCCTGGAGAAGGAGGCAAGAATTTTCTCTTCCTAGTTCTACTTCCTGCTAATGCTAGTAAATATATTTAGAAATTCCAATTTTTCTATTTTATTTTTTGTGATGATTCCTTCCTCTCTCGGCCAAATAATGCTTTTTTCTCTACTAGGTGCACTTTAGTAATCATATGCCTCTTAGTCTGAGTCACTGTCCATATGAGAAGGAATGACTTCCTTACATTTGCTATATTACCGGAGTAAATTCTTAGCCAAGTACATGCAACTTCAAAGCTAGCCTCTTCCCAGTCATGCTCTGTTAATACTGAAGAGCTTGTGTGGTTATGAAAAGTTACAGGTTGGCCGGCAGCTCTTTGGAGGCAGAACCGTGTGTTTGTGGTATATCAGCCTTCCAAGAGTTGAATACTAGCCATTTGCACTGTCAGACTGTTCTTGAAATGCAGAAAATAAGACTTTCCACCCAGTTTTCGCTGAGTCAGTCAGGTGGAGGTCTGTCCTTCCTTTGTGTTGGGGAGCCCTCAGCGTTTGGATTTGGCCGTGTCCTGCAGGACCTTCCTGATGACAGCTTACCTTGCAGGGAAGGAGAGTCGCTCCCAGATAGCCCTCACGAGTGGCCCTGGAGCAGGAAGTGGTGACGCAGATCTTCTTTGTTTGGGAGGAGCCTGAGGCGGACCTCCGTCCTGAGTCTGGAAGGTAAATTTGTTGTTACCTGTAAATTATGGTTCTGCTAGTTCATACTATGCCAATCCAGACTTTCAGAGGTATCCCTCCTGCCAGCAAGAGAAGACAGATGACTTGGATGAAGATGGCTGTCAAGCCCTAGGTCATTGAGTCTTCTACACTTACAAATATTTCTTTTTTTTAAAAAAATGGGCAGATATAACTATTAAATGAACTTTACTCTTTGAACACATTGAGCACATCCTATGCTGTGACTATGGTGCTCTCTTTTTGTTTTTCTGGTTCTTTTTTCTTTTTTTTTTCCTTAGATTGAACCATATGGATTGGTTTAAGAGGGCCTAGCAGAACCACAACCTTACAGGCAAGAACAAATGTCACTTTCTGCTACTTTCTCCTATACCAATCCAGACTGTAAGGACCAAAACGTAATATTGACACTTTGTTGTCTTGAATAAAATAGAATTAAACATTTCTATCGCAAACACAGCTTTTAAGGCTTAACAGAAGTCAGTGTGACGAATTGTCATAGCTACTTTAGAAGGAAGGCCTGTCCAAATTCATGTAGTCGGTGTACCAACCTCTAACCCCTGACTTGTCCTGCAATGCAGTGAGATCGTGACAGCTCTTTATTCACAGAGAAAATAAACTCAATTCACAGATTTGGCAGCCAAACAAAGGGATGGGGATCCTGCCTTAACTGAATGTGTACATTTAACTGAATCTATCTGCTCTATTGGTTCATCTCCTCAGAAATTACTGACTGGTTTTTGTGTTACTCTGTGTTGCTTATCTTACTTCCACCCTCTCCTTTTCTTACCATACCTGCTGGCAATAGGGATGGCCCTACAGTCTAGAGTGATATAGGGGGAGATAGCAGAACCGGAAGGGTCCAGTCTTTTATTTTAAAAAAAAGAACTAGTTATGACAGATTTTTTTTGTTTCTTTATTTTTTTTCTCAACTGGGGGATATAGTTGTCTGTACTGTTCCAGAATCTCAAATAGTTGAGAGAAGTCACTGTTTCCAAGTTACTACTTAATGCAATAGCTTTTAATTGATTTTGGTTTCTACATTTACATGGCATTCTCTTCCTCCCCTTCAGAAACTACATAAATCTGCTACAGAGAAAACAGGGAGGGGCTCAGTGTATTTTAGGCTAATCCTTTTGGGTTTTCATCCACCAAAGTACAAAGAAGGGCCTTGCATGGAAGCCTTTTTGCCAGACGTTCTAATCGGATAGTTCATGTAACTCCTTGATGTCTTTGTCTGCTCATCTTGGAGCTGTGAAGCTATTTTGTCTTCCTCATTTGTTCATATGGTCAAGTCTTTTTTAACCTTACCTAATCCTTTCTTTATGATCAAGTTTCTAAATTACATGTAATGAGGAATTTATTATCCAGGACCACAGAGGGTGTTTAGTACTATGAGCAGTTATATCACTAAATGCATGTATTTGAATTAATTTAACATTGCACAAATTTCAAATAATTGTAAATTATTGTGTATTACAATTAATAATTGTTATTTTAAGGACTAAAAGATAATAGAAATTGTAATTTATTAATAATTTAGAGCTTAGGAAACTCCTTTCTGTATTCATTTGATTTTTCCGAGTCTCTGTTTTAATCATTTGGCACATAGTCTAGTGATTGCCAGTTCCAAAGCTGAAATTTTTTATTTTTGTTTCTAGTAATTCTTGTGTAAGCAATATTAAAATAATTCATTTGTTAACAATTTATCGTGGTACTTAACCTTGTAAAACTGTTCTGCCCAATGTGTTAAATAATTTTATTCCATGTTTTCCCCTTCTGTCCATTTAAACATACGGCTTGAACATAAATTAAAAATATAGATAGGTTTTGTTGCTCCTGTTTGTCCTTTTTTAACCTCTTTGCTAATTAAAATTCTTTTTTCTTTCTGTGCTCTGACCAGATCTTTTCAAATTAGTAATTAATGTAAATTTAATTCATTTAGTATATACTAAAAAATAGTAAGTCTCTTAAATTAGCTTTACCTTTAAAATCTGTTACCAGGTTTGTAAATTGCGTTTACAAAACTTAGTGCTCAAGTCTTCTAAACAGATAGTACTGAATTTTCTGAGTGGATATGGATATGAATTCTCTTTCATCTTGAGCTTGATTTTAACACTAACTTTCTCCAAATGGAATTCTGTGAAAAGGAAAATTAAAAATATCTTTCTAGGGAAAAACAAATGAATTAAAATGGAATTTCTCATGTTATTTCCATTATTGATGAGAATGCTTCTTTTTTTAAATATGTTTTCTTTTTTTAAATATGTTTTAGCTATGCTATGTTAACAAGGTGTTAACTTACTAATTTTTACATACAGGCACCCATGGGGACTTGCTGGGGTGATATCTCAGAAAATGTGAGAGTAGAAGTTCCCAATACAGACTGCAGCCTACCTACCAAAGTCTTCTGGATTGCTGGAATTGTAAAACTAGCAGGTGAAAAGAATGCATAATAATTTACTAAAAATGCCACTGATACTTGTATCCATGTCTAATAAAACAACCAAAACCACTTTTTAATGCATTGATAAATAAATAATAAATTTGATATGTTTAAGGCAATGCTCTGTGAAAGGCGTCATAGTATTTTCAGCTTTAAGAGTCATATAACATATGGCCTGTGTCACATCTACTCACATTTCTGTTGAATCAGCAAAAGCAGTCATAAATAAACTAATGCGTGAGACCCTGTTGCTGTAAAACATTTATGGCCGCTGAAATTTTGTTTTTATATCCTTTCCATTTAGAATATACAATATTAACTCTTCATTTTTATTCCCAATGATATAAAATGTAAAAACTCTGCTTAAAAATAAGTCAGGTTTGCCATAGTTTGCCAAACCCTGTAGCAAGAAAATACTTTGAAAAGTAACAAAAAGTTGAGGTACTTGAAAACTGATAAAGGCTGTGATCCCAAAAGTAAACAAATGTTTATAAGTTGATAAATCTTGGGTTCCTCTTTTTTTTTTCTTTGTTCCAGCTGCCTCCCAGTACCTCAGCCTTTGTGATTTTGTTACTGGTGAAATATGTTGGGAATCTGAATATATTAAAAAATTATGACCACAGATGATTTGCAAAAACATAGGACACTGAGGTTAATCTCCCAGAAGTGGATTTCTATCAGACATCATGTGAAAATGAGCTCATTGAGTAGTGTAGGGAGGGAGCACTGTTAGTTCAGAGGCAGAATAACCTCTTGGGTGAAAAAAATCTGTCCATTTCTAAACTCCCCTCCAGTCATTCTTCCAGAATACTTCCTACTACATACTACTGATAAGACTTTATTGACTTAACAATTGTCTGAATTCTGGTTTTCTGCTGTAGTCTTCTTAGTGAGTTCTTGGTCCTCACAGCTTTAAGGTAGTTGATATTTAAAGATATTGATGAGTTGCATCGTGTGCTACTAGCCAGTTTTTATTACTTTTGAGCATGAATGATCTATTAACTAATAAGGCTGGATAAACTCCCCTTTACCTCAGTGGCAGCTTGTGCTTTGCCACTTCTGTGCCACTGCTCTCTTTTTAAAAGTACCCCATAGTTTGTTCCTACCCATGTTACCCAGTTCAGTCCCTACCATTCCCTTGAAACATTTAGCATTCTCTAAACTCTTGGATTTTTTTTCTATACCAACCATATTTTATAACAATTACGCTTCTGTCATAGGTGTTTAAATTAATTATCTTTAAATAGCTCTAAAGAACAATGGCTTTAATATCCAAGAATTATTACTTTCCATCTCTGATTTTCTGTTTTCTCTAATTACATCTTATATTATTTTAAGCCACTTGAAAGAAGTAAACTGATGTTAGTCAGGCTTACTTAGTAACTGGACTCCACAACTTATAAATTGTTCTTTGAATTTTTAAAATTATAGATTTAATACTTTAAATCTTTATAGATTAAATGCTGGCTAAACACAGCTCCTGACCCAAAATACAACCTTATTCATTTTTATCCCACTAAAAGCCTTAAATTAAACTTCATTAGTAACACTTACTTATTATAACCAATATATATTGTGCTTGGCTTCTTTATAGTAAATAACGTTTACCATTTGCCTACTAAGGGAGCTTTTAAAATGAATTCTTACGTACTTTCTATTTATTGAGCTTTTTCATTTAGCTTTGTTTTTTTTTTAATTTTGTATTTTTATTTGAATGAAGATTTACAGATTTTTTAAAATTCAATCATATATACACATTTTTCCTTTAACATTAATTTCAATACCTACATTATAATCACATTTTTCTTCTCCCTGTAGTTCTAATTTCCATTAATCCTTCTATACCTCTCTAACTTCCCTTTCTGTACCGATCATCTCCTTGTTGTATATTGCCCTTTTCTTCATCCATCTATGTGTCTGTTAGCCGCTTAATAACTTTTGCTCCCCTTTTCCCCTGCTCCCATACCAGTAGCCATTCAGGAATGATTCTGTCTTTTTAGAACAGTGGTCTTGTACAGTATTTATCCCTTTATGATGGACTTCTTTTACATAGCATGATGTCCTCCGAGTACATCCATGTTATACAGTATTTCATAAATTTGTTCTTTTTGAGTATTATGAATGTAAGTTACATGTGAATGTGCTATAGTTTCTTTATCCATTGACGGTCACTTAAAGTGTGTTTGCATCTTTTTTTTATTGTAAATAACACTGCCGTGAACATGGGCACATACACGTAGCCTGGTCTTAGAAATATTGTCAGTGTGCTGTCAGATCAGTTCTTAGTATAAGTGCCTTTATCTCTGTACAACATAAAGAAATACTGCCTGGTCCTTCACTATCCTCATTCATGTTACTATCTCCTGAAATGGTTGAGCATCAACCAGTTCTTTTTAAGTGCAATAAGTTTTTTTGTTCCTTCCATCTTCTTTTGATGCTTTCTGCATCATTACTATAATTTTATCTGTGAATTCTTTCAGTATTGCAACTTGATTGTTTTTTTCGTCAGTTCTTTCCACTTAAAAAAAAATAAATGTTCTTCCCTTTTAACTTTCTAGTTCCAAGTCTGTGCATATTTTGTCTTTTCATGTCCCCCCCTTTGATGTCTTCTGTTCAGCTCTTCATTTCTTCCTGTCCCCTTAACTACATTCAAGAGCAAGTTTCAGGATCTCTTTTTTTTTTTTTTTGCCTTGTACCTTTTTTCTTTTTTTTTTTTATTATTTTTGTGTGAGTGTACCGTCAAATCAGATCTGACTGGTACAGGAGGAGGTTGTCCCTTCTTCCTCGGCAGAGCATCTGGTGGATTTGAACTGTGCACCTCTGGGATTGTAGTTGCAGCTCCTTACCACTAGGCCACCAGAGCTCCCCTAGAATCTCTTTTAACATCTGTTTCATTGTCTTTATCCCCCTCTTTTTAATGACCTTTTCCTTTCTTCTTTGATGCCCTTGAATGTTACTCCACAGTTCATCTGACCTCCAGTCATTACTGTGAAGTACATCAAATCTATTCTTGAACTAGTCTGTTAATTCCAGTGAGAGGTACTCAAGGCTTAATTTTCATTCTCATGGAATCATTTTCATTTTATTTGTTGGTCTATTCCATAGCCAACTGCTGGCCTTATTCTGACTGATGATGGGGACCTGTTTTTAATCCTTTTCCTATAGATGTAGTCTGTTTGATTCTTGTGTTAATTGCCGCATGCTCAATGTATAGGCACCATTCATCTGATTCATTCATCTTACTCAAAATAACTTCCAAAAATTAATTAATCTTGCAAAATTCTTGTCACATCATCTCCCACATTGTTTCTGTCATCAATACCCATTTATCAAATAATGATTTTTCTTTGTCTTTTCATTCCAATCACAAATAATTATCAGTGCATATGGATTGACCAATTTCATAATGCAGAAGTAGGTAAAATTCTTCAGTTTCCTTATCTTTAGCATTACTGGATCATGTGTAGGTGTGAAAAATAGGTATATTAACTGATCTGCCTTGTAAATGTATGGAGAGTATCCAACACGCTGACAATGTTGTGTTTCAGTATAGATCTTATTCTGTTCTCCAACAGCAGATGCATGACCATTCTTAAATTTGTAATTGATTATTGTTGTTGTTAGGTGCCATCGAGTTAAGTATGACGGAAATTTGTCCACCATGCAACCCTTCTAATATTTTAAATATTCGTGGCATAGTTTCCATTATTATAATAATATCGAAGAATGTAATTGACTGATACTTGGTTATCCAATCATGATCTGTTGCATTAAAACCATTTCTTTAAAATATACATAATTATATTTCTGTGGCTTGATGAAGTTTTACTAAGTTGCTGTAACCTTTCAGAACTACACATCCATCTCTGTTGTTTTCACTGACAATATTTTCCTAGAATCGAGGAAACTGTGGATAAAATTGCATTATATTCAAGGAACAGGCTATATGCTCTGGGAATTACATAAGTGTACTGTCCAGTAAGCCAATTGGTCTGTGGACCAGCATACAGTTACCTGGGAACTTGTAAGAAATTTATGTTCTTGGGCTCCATCAATAATCTAGTAAATCTGAAACTTACCAGCTTTTTAACAGAGCTGGTGGTTAAGTCTCATTTGGTTCACACTAAAGTATAATAATAACTGCTCCCAGGAGCTTTCTCCTGCTTTATTTATCTTACTTTTTTGCCTATTGTGATTGATTTGGTAAGAGAAGTTTGTTGGTTTTAGGTTACAATGCTCTTTTAAGATATGAAGGATTTGAAAATGACTCTGGTCTGGACTTCTGGTGCAATATATGTGGTTCTGATATCCATCCGGTTGGTTGGTGTGCAACCAGTGGAAAACCTCTCGTCCCTCCCAGAAGTAAGTCCTGTAGAATTCTTGAAAAAAGACCTCACTCTGGGAAAGGTAGAGAGTCCAGGAGAGAAAGGAAGACCCGCCACAAGGTGGATTGACGCATGGCCTTCACATGGCTTGAGCATTTCTCAGATCATGAGAATGGTGCAGGATAGGGGAAGGTTCAGACCTGTCATTAATAGCGTTGCTGTGAGTCGTCATCCACTCATTGGCCCCTAGTAACAGCAGCTGAAGAATTTAGATGTTCATGGCAACCTAACTGGGCTAAGTAGAGCAGTGCTTCATAGGGGTTTCATTGGTGGATTTCCCCCCCTCCCTGTAATTAGGTACCCAAGCCTTTAATATGAGTCACTTCTAGTTGGACTCGAGCATATCAAGATGAAGAGAGTTGCAGGATAGGGCAAGGTCCAGACCTGTCATTCATAAGGTTGCTGTTAGTCATTGACTGGATAGCACCTAACAACTATAGTTTAAATAGATAGTCGCCTTAGTTTATACGTAGCCATATTAAATACAAACATCAAAATCTCTTTTTTCCAGGTAATTTATTTGCCAGCCAGGCATACATACTTGTTCTGGTTTTTTTAGCTCTTAGTCAGAACTTCAGTTATCACTATGCATTACAAGGAAATCTGTTGTTTTTGTAACAAAAAATAATAGTTTTTTAACTAACTGAAAAGCTTTTCTAGTGAAATGATTTCTCACCAAAGGTAAAAATGGTATCTTAGAAAAGACTTCTAGTAAAAAAAAAATCCTCAAAACTTAGACTCTTTAGCATCAAGTGAGAACAAACTCCTAGCTGCTTCAAGTTTTCAGGGGCTGGAAATCACACAGGAGATTGTCCATCTTTTTCCTTCAGACCTGCTGGTAGATTGAAACCTCCAGAGAGGTAGCACCTTTGGGTTAGCAGTGCACCTTCCTTTAGACTATGCTGCCCGGCCTCCCTGGACTCCTGTAAGAATAGAAAAGTGTCAGATGAGAGCTAAATAAAGGAGTAGACTTTGTTTTTAAGAAATAGTTTCAGTTCTACTTTTTTGCTAAAGTGTGACTGGTTATTTCTTTTATTTTAGCTATTCAACATAAGTATACAAACTGGAAAGCTTTTCTAGTGAAACGACTTACTGGTGCCAAAACACTTCCACCTGATTTCCCACAGAAGGTAAAAATAGCATCCCACAAAGGTTTTTAAAAACTGTCAAATGAAATATCTAAGGAGTAATGTGAACCTTTTATTTAAAGGAATCATTTTCATTTAGGGAACCAGTTGATCTGTGTTAAATACTGAGGGCATTTGGTATTTTTTATAGCATATTAAACTTGTTACTAATGTTACGGGTTTCTTATTTCTTATTATGGGTTGCAAACCATCTCTGTCCGTTTTACTTAAAGGTTTCAGAAAGTATGCAGTATCCCTTTAAGCCTTGCATGAGAGTAGAAGTGGTTGACAAGAGGCACTTGTGTCGAACTCGAGTAGCAGTGGTGGAAAGCATAATTGGAGGAAGATTAAGGCTAGTGTATGAGGAGAGTGAAGACAGAACAGATGACTTCTGGTGCCATATGCACAGCCCGTTAATCCATCATATCGGCTGGTCTCGAAGTATTGGTCATCGATTCAAAAGATCTGGTAAGCACCTTACACAAAAAATTCAATCATTAAAGTTACTGTGAACATCTTGAAACTGAACTGTACTACTTAGTTGGTTATCTTCCTGTAGGAATAGCAAACACCATAAAGTGCATCCTAGTTAATCTGGGCTGGTTCTGTGTGAATTAGTGCAGGGTCACACCAGAATTGTACTGTTCTGAGTAACTCTATATACTCTTACGTACTTGAATTTAAAAACCAGTAGTATCTTTGGTTACAACTACAGTGGTTTTTTTTTAAGTCTTCCCCAGCCCTTTTGAAAGATCTAAAAATAACCTTCCTCTTTTAATCCTAATAAAAGGATTTAATGTTGTTATATTTTATATTAAACATATTAAAACATGCTTTTTATGGTTATCACCAGTTGGCTTGATGTATCTCATAGTAAATGCACATATACTCTGAAGAAAGAAACAATAATACCACCATTTTACTTTTGGAGAAATGACCATCTCACTCTCTGGGATGTGTCTTTTCTAATAAAACTTAACTTGGCTGTCACCTTAAAAAAAAGAAATGTTATTACCATATTTGTAGAAGGCAAATATTTTTTGCCATGTTTTCATCAAAGAAACGTGCTTTTTTTTCGTCTCACAAATGCTGACAGATTAGTATGTAACTTTTCCTTATAGATATTACAAAGAAACAGGATGGACATTTTGATACACCACCACATTTATTTGCTAAGGTAAGAAGTTTTTTTAAGAACCCTCATTTGTAACAAGGCTTGAAAGAGGGTTGTGGGCTCTTATTCTGAAATTATAGAAAGCACCATTACATGTTCACTTAAAAGAATTAAGACTTCGTAATCCAAAAGTGTGACAAATACTGGTTATAATCTTCCTTAAGCTCTGCTTATTTGCTTGTATCCTTTCCCCTAATTGAAATTTGAGTTACTATAACTGTTAGGTAGGTAGGAAAAGACATTTTCCCATAGAAAACTTTTTCATATTGATGATATTTCGGTTACTCTGAAAGGCAACATTTACCACAGTAGGTTTGCTTTCATGTAATTCTTTAGGTAAAAGAAGTAGACCAGAGTGGGGAGTGGTTCAAGGAAGGAATGAAATTGGAAGCTATAGACCCATTAAATCTCTCTACAATATGTGTCGCAACCATTAGAAAGGTAAGAGAACACATTTTTTTAAGGTAGTAATGCAGTTAACAGAAACTGCACTTAATTTAAGGTAGAGGAAATAATGTATGTCAGAGCTAATCTAACATAGAATTGAAACGATGCCAAGCTAATCTTTTGACTTCCCAGTTTTGCCTTTTTTGCTATTTTCTCCTTTTTCCTTTTCTTTCTTGTCTCTTAACTGCTCTTCTGAAAAGATCTAGCGAATTGGTCCTCCTTTGTCAGCAGCTATCAGAATGTCCTGGGGAACTTGAAAAAGAACTAAAAGTGTCCCAGACCCTTTCTCCCCACCCCACCCCAATTCTGATTGAATCTGTTTTTGTTAATCATCAGAACCACCTACTCAGCACAGATTCCCATGACCCAATCCAGACCTACCTGCTTCAGTCAGAAGCAATATATCACAAGATATATTGCCCAGATACAAATAAATAGTTCCATAGGTGGGCTCTGTCATTATGCCATGCTTTGTTCCCTGCAGTGAGGATGCAGAATGGCCAGTGAGTTGAATTTCCTCTCCCCCCGCCTCCCAGGAAAGCCTTGTTAAATCACTGTGCTAACTTTGGTTTGGACTCTGGGTTTCTTTTCGTGACAAGTTACTAAAAACAGTGGCCTCAAACTTCAGAAATTTATTATGTCCTAATTCTGGAAGCTAGGAGTACAAAATCAGAAGTGCCATTGGAGTGAGTTGCACTCCCTCTGCAGATGAGGGATCCTTCTGCACCTCTTCTAACTTCTCATTTCCAGCTACTCCTGGTGTTCCTTAACTAGCAGCTGCATTGCTCTAACATCTTGTCACTCAGCCTTCTTCCCTCTGTGTACATATCCATCAATGTCTGTTCAAATTTCTGTCCTGTTCTCTCTAAAGGATTATGGTCCACTCAATTTTTTTTTTTAAATTAAATGAACATTTACAGAGATTTTGGGTTTCCATTCATTCATTGTTGCACTATTTTCTCTACCCTTCCCCCCCCAGTTCGTTCCTCTTCCCCCACCCCGAAAGTCTGTTTTAATTGTCCCATTGCCACCCAGTTCTGATTAATCTCCTTTCTCAGTGTGTCCTTTGCCATTCCCTATCACTCCTCCCTGAGAGAGACTTCACCCTGATTCATAAGGAAAAGGGG